CTGTGAACCGTGTGGCACCTGAGCCTGACCTCCCACTAGCCAACTGCCACATAATAAGAATAATAATCCTTGCATTTGATATAGCACTTTTCACGTCGGGAGGACGTCCCAAAGCGCTTCACAGAACACACTGTAAAGTGAATTGACTGTATATTTGTGGGCGAACGCGGCAGCCAATTGCGCACAGCAATGTCCCACAAACAGTCGTAGATTGAAAATGACCAATTTATTATTGTTTTTGGTTTTGGAGGGATTATTATTAGGCTCTGTGTGGAGTAAGGAAACTTGCCCAAGGTTTCGCCCTCTGCCTGGAATTGAACTCAGATCTCTCACTTGCAAAGCGAGTGCTCTAACCACTGAGCTACAGGACTCCACAAAAAAGGTACAAGGTCTGGCAGGCAGGGGTTTATGTGATCAGATGTGTCAGTGTTGTTACCTCCTGTTTAGACTTAGACTAATGCACGCTTCACTGATCTTCCCAGCTCCACCGTTCATAAGCTACGACTCATCCAAAATTCCACCACCTGCATTCTTACCCACACCAAACTGCACACCTATCAGCCTAGGCCTGCCCAATGGCTCCCTGTGGAGCAATTTTAAGATCCTCACCACCAACAAATCACTCCATGCCTTAGCATCTCTTTATCTCTCCAATCTGGTACCCTCTTCCAAACCCAACAACAACAACTTGCATTAATATAGTGCCCTTCACGCGGGGCAGTGACCCAGAGCGCTTGACAGTGGGCGAGTCTGACCCCAAGCCAGGAGAAGATGAAGGGGGAGGTGACCGTAAGCACGATCAAAAAGCAAGGTCTTTAGGCAGGATTTGAAAGTGGGGAGAAAGGGGGCAAGGCGGAGGGATTGAGGGTGGGAGTTCCAGAGCTTCGGAGCGTAGTAGCTGAAAGCACGGCCATCGATGGTGGAGCGGAGGGGATGAGGGACGAACAGGAGGCCGGAGTCGACCGAGCGGAGGCAGTGGGTGGCAAGCAAATTGGATAGGTAGGGAAGTGCGAGGGCATGCCCTATTCCAAACTTGTATTTGTTGTGCATTCCTTTACTCTCTGAGGCTGCCGAGCCTTCAGATCTTACAGCCCTAACCTCTAAATCTGCCTTCCTCTACCCCTCAACCCACTTTATATCTGCCTTTACCTAACACCTCAAAATCAGCTCTTCAAACATACCTCCTCCCTTGCTCCATAGGAAAAATGGACTCTGCATCAGAGTAATTGTTAACCTTTTGGATATGCATCTCTTTGAGGGCAATGTACCTCTGTAAAGGGACAATACAGTAATAATAATCATTCGGTATAGCGCCTTTCATGTCAGGAGGACATCTGAAAGCACTTCACAATGTTTACTATGAAATGGAGTGACTCTAATTGTAGATGAACACAGCAGCCCAATTGCACACAGCAATGTCCCACAGACAGCCATGAAACAAATGAACAATTTTATTCACAGGGGATAGTTGGCCAGGGCGCTGGGAGAAACTCCCTTCTCTTTTTGAATAGTGCCATGGGATTTTTAACGTTCATCTGAACAGGCAAGCGGGACCTCGGTTTAACACTTAATCCAAAGAATGGCACCTCCTACATGCAACATACCTGCAGTGGAGTATCAGCCAACATGGGGCTTGAACCCACAACCTTCTGACTCAGAGGTGGGAGTGCTACCAACTGAGCCGGGCTGACACTAATAAATGGATTTTAAGGATAATGCACATAAAAGGTACAAGGTCTGGCAGGCAGGGGTTTATGTGATCAGATGTGTCAGTGTTGTAATTAAGACAGTGCTCTACAAGTCCAAAATAAAAAAAAGTGTTCAATCATTTTCTATCCACCCAGCCTGTCTGGACTAGAGGAACAGCAGCAAAGCTGAATACTTTGGCGAGAAATCGTATGTAGGTGCAAGCTGGTTTGGCATTTTCCCCAATAGAAAGACTTTATTTCACCAAGAATGTATTTTGTTTTGTTGACCCTCACATAACATCTGGAATCTGATATTTGGTACACTGCTGCTAAGGGAAACAATTTGGACTGAAATAATTTAGCTGCTAAATACTTGCACTTATTTAGATAGTTGCTTGCTATTTATTTTGCTTAAAAAAAATACAGACCACAATAATGAAAGCCAAATTTCTCAACATAGCATATCATTCAAAACAATTCACCTTGTCTCAGTTGGTAGCACACTCTCATCTCTGGGTTAGAAGATTGTGAGTTCAAGTCCCACATCACAACTTTAAGCAGCAATGATCCCATGATACTATTTGAAAAGAGAAGGATGTATCTCCAAGTCTCTTGGCCAACAATTCTCCAGATAAAATTGCCCATTCACTTCATGGTCCGTGGGACATTGCTGTGCACAAATTAATGCCAAGTCAGCCTACAAAATACACAGTGACTATACATGGCAGCAATTACATGTGAGATACTTTGAGATATTTCATCATTATACACATTATATTAAGCCAATGATTATTATCAGTATCATTATAAATGTCCTAAAGTCCCAAGAAGTTTAAACTATTTAATATTAAACTATAGCTAACTGTACGCAATTAGCTGCTGCATTTCGTCCACAAAATACACAATCAATCCATTTTACAATATATTCTATGAAGCGCTTTGAGATGTCTGAATGACACAATGAGGCGCTATATCAAATGCAAGGATTATTATTAGTATTAGCAGTAGTGCAGAGCTAGAGAGAGAGCAATGAAACGTTTTTTGTTGTGGGAATAATTTTCTAATTTGTAATATATTTAATTTAATACGTGAGATTGGGTTTAGGATAGAATGTGTCATGAGTCATAAAACACTCTGACGACAAGGGTGATCAATTGAAATACATTTGTTAAATACCTAGTCGGTATTTCCTTCATCTACCATCTGCAAATCTGAACATTCTCCACAGTTTGACATGTATTTCTGCGTCATTTATCATCCTCAATTATCATCTGTGATTCAGAATGAAAGGAAAGAACACATGAAAAGTGTTGAAAGCTGAGGCTTGATTCTGAAAAGAACAGGAATGTTAAAATTTAGAAGAAAAGGTGTCATGACAAAGCTGGCACACTTCCTTGAAAGGGATTCTTATAAGAGGTCCGTGCGACAAGAGAAGACAGGATGTGTACACACAGGGCTTTGTTATTCATTCAATTGAATTGATCTGTGTGTGTGGCATTTCATTTTTCTTTGGCCGTGGATTTTAGTCTCACATATAATCATTTATTTGGAAAATCTTCATAACTGATTTTTAAGACAAGTTCTCAAAACTTTTTTTTGGCTAGGCCCCAGGGGTTCTGCTGAATGTCTGACACACCCAGAAATCCATCACCATTCAAGCTAAACTACCCAGAGATCCTCGCTCGCTGGAGGGAAACACTAGCACTGGTCAACTGTCTGACCTTCCAGAGTCCAATTGCGGTGCCTATCCACAAGAAGGGTGAACCTTAGTGAAACGGGATGCATGGAATTCTCAGTTTGGTATAGATACTCTTAAGCATGGGGATGGATTTTCAAGTGCATCAGACCCCAAGTGACCACACGCAAAAAAATATAGAGGGACATACCCATTCCATCTAATCCTGGAGGCAATGTTGGCGATAGCCAAGACTTGGAGATCCCAAGTCACAAATACCTGCATAAAGCTACATAGAATGTTGCAATTTGTTCCAAATAGTCTGTGACTCCCAATGAGCATCCATCCCTCTTAATCACCTCTCCCATACCCCTCTAATGCATTGAAGTAGCATCTATACTCCCTCATGTATGAATTCCATTTCCTCTTAAATATGTCACATATAAGATATGTGTCGAAAATGCTGCCAAATCAAGTCACTTCATTCCTAATCTCTTAAACAGAGATCACTGACTTGTGCAAACAAATCACTTCTGGTCATCTTGGAAAGAAAATAATCTGTACGGTTAATGAAAAGGATCTAGGGGTCCTGATTGACAATAAATTGGAGCTGTCACAACAGTGTTCGGTAGCAGTGAGTAAGACAAACCAGATGCTGGGTTGTATTAAAAGGCCAATATGATCCAAAATAGTTGGGTAATCTGCCACGTTACAAATCACTGTTGTGACCACATTTGGAATACTGTGTGTAATTCTGATCACCACAATATAAAAAGGAAATTGTAGTGATTGAGAGGATACAGAGGAGGGCAACCAAAATGATAAAGGGGATGGAGGGACTGGATTACGAGGAGCGATTAGATAAACTGGGCATGTTCACACAGAAGATAAGTTTGAGGGGCGATATGATTATGTTCTTTAAGATTCTGAAGGGAATAGATAATGTAGACAATGATAAGCTATTTTATCTTGTACTGAACAGGAGAACCAGAGGACACACATGGCCTGCGATTGAAGTGGGTAGCTTCAAAACAAATCTGTGGAAACACTATTT